TCTGACATCCAGAGTGTCTAGAGCACAGAAATGATCTGCATATGGAAAGTCTGATAAAGTTCACTATAAAACAATACGGGTCTAATGACTTTTTAAAGAGGTATTAGTAAATTTCTTCCCCAATTTATTCTATGGTGATGATCTTCGCCATTCCTACTACTTTCATTTGAGTCAATTTTGTATATATATATTTCCTCACAGGGTTCTAAATGTGTTGGCCTAAGTTGTATATTGTTACAAAACATCAGACAAAAATTGAGATTATTGTAACAAACATGTGTCCCCATCACCTAGTTAAAAAATTCCTAGATATACAATTGAATCCCTCCATACTGTTCCCCAATTCCATTCCCATATGTTCCTCTCCACAATACACTATCCTGTTTTACTCCACTCCATGTCTTATACATATGCTGTACATAAAACAGTCTCAGAAGTTTTAAAATTTACACTCAGAACTGTACTTACCTTTCTGCAACTTGTTTTTTTTCTCTCAACATTTATACTATGTTGCTATATGAAACTCTAGCTCATGAGTTTTTAAAAGCTGTATGCTATAAAGTGTTAAAACCACACTATCTGTATTCATCTCTGTTGCTGGATATTTAGACTGGCTTAAAGTTTCCCCAATTTTCCCTTTTTCTTTTTTTCTCCTTTGTAAAGCCTCAAAATAAGGGCAAAATGACTGCACATAAGAATTCTTTTTTAATTTAGCTTTTTCTACATTTGAGACATTTTCAGTATCCTGGACCACCAATCTCCTGTATTTTCCTGGGCATTCTGAAAGAAGTAAAGTCTCCCCTAAGGGTCTAATTCATACCTAAGCAATCTGTGGCTCTTTGGTATTTCTCTTTAGCATTCCTTTGGGAAACAAGAAACAACCCCTCATTTTCAGGTATAAGTCTGGAAGGGCTCTGCATCAGTGTTCATTCAGATTCTGCTAACTTAGCAGAACAAAACTTGAAGCCAATGAGGAAGACAGTGACTTTTACTGCTTAGTCATGACTTCTGGAGGCATCCTTTTAAGAGAACTCCTTTGATATTTATTTGGTTTAAAAGCTGGGCATTTCACAAATTTCCCCAAGAAATTATCTTCTAAGATATACCAACCAACTTTGTTTCCTTAATGGTCTTCTATTAATCAGAGAGCTTTAACTGCATATTAGTGAAGGTTTGTTATGAGAATGAGTGGCTGATTTGACATCCCAGTTTACATTTTAAAAAATAGTTACAGTCCTACTTACACAAGAATAAAAATTGAGTTTTTAACACAATATATTAAAACTGACTTTATTAAACTAAGCAGTTTCCTTATATTATACCAAAACTGGGCATAAAAATGTTCTAGTAACTTATGAGCTATACTCTCTACTTGTATAAGAACATTTATTTTCATTTTACCCTTTCTGTTGACTTTATTTTATACTGATATGCGTAAAAACAAAGTCAGATTTATTTTTTTAATGTTTATTTATTTTTGAGTGGGGAAGGGGGGTGGGGGGAGACAGAATCCGAAGCAGACTCCAGGCTCCGAGCTGCACAGAGCCTGACGTGGGGCCTGAACACAGATAATGACCTGAGCCAAAGTCAGATGCTCAACTGAACCACCCAGGTGACCCCAGATTTAGTTTTCAAATGGATAATGTTGCGTGACCCATGACCTACCAGTGAACTAGCTGTATTAGAAACTGGTTAGCTGTATACTGATACTCCAGTAAGGTACAAGAGGATGTCCTAAGTCACAGACATGCTTACAAAATGTATGAGTGTGCTGAAGTAGAGTTTGCACTCATCCCTTTCCAGAAAAACGTCCTTAGCTGGCAATTTCTTTAAACACTACGTTAGGGGATGCTTGGGTGGCTCAGTTGGTTAAGCATCTGACTCTGGATTTCAGCTCAAGTCATGATCTCAAGGGTCCTGAGATCAAGTCCTGAGCTAGAACTTGACAGCCTGGAGCCTGCTTGGGATTTTCTCTCTCCATCTTTCTTGCCCCTCTCCCACTGTCAAAATAAATAAATAAACTTTTAAAAAAAGCAGCTACCTTAGGTTAAGTTAGGATTGAAGTTTATCTTGTAAATACTTTTATTTCATTTGTTACCCATAGCACACCTTCCAAAATAGAAACAGTCAAGTATACTAAGATGAGTCCCCTCAAGCCTTAGAGCAGGTGGCAAGCAGCCTAATCCATTTTTCCCAGATATGTCTTAAAAATATCATCACTTCCTTTTAAAAAATGTTTATTTTGAGAGAGAGGGGGAGAGAGAGGGAGAGAAATAGCATGCACAGCCGGGGAGGAACAGAGAGAGGAGAGAATCTCAAGCAGGCTCCAGCACTGTCAGTACATAGCTGGATGTGGGGCTAGAACCCACAAACTGAGATTGTGACCCAAGTCTAGATCAAGACCCGGACACTCACCCGACTGAGCCACCCAGGCGTCCCCATCGCTTTCTATAGATGTTGTGATGTGAAAAAGTTTAAAGAACACTGCCACAGACCCATGACCACTTTATAGATTACTTCAGGAAACAATTTTATATTTTCTTGAGTCTACAATGCCTAGAATGGTTGGTTCTCTGAACACAGTGTGGTTAATTTTAAATGATCTGACATTAATTTCCAATATCAATGAGGCCTTAAAAGTCTTACTAGTTCTTTTAATTTTAATTGAGTATTTTGAATATTCTCCAATAGCTAGCTAGCGTTATTGGCCAATCCTACAATAAAGCTTTTGCGTAATACTCAGAATATCAAATGTGAAGGTGTCTATACAAAGTAATGCCTTGAAAAATTTTCAGTTTCAAGGACAAAAATACTACAACTTAGGGATACCAAGTACACTGTGATGTTGCTTTTGAATAATCTATCCTAGAAAAGTGAACAGAAGTACACATCCTTCTCAGGATGTTTCACAACACACATGTAATTACAAAACACCTGTGTTAACTGCTGGCAAAATGCGCCTGTATATTTTATACCCCATGAGCAAAGGAACAAACTGATTATCAGTATGGAAGATCTTTTCAAAGGATCTGACACATTCCAAGGTTTTTGGTGTGATTAAGTAAAAAAATGATTTTAACTACAGAAAGGGCAATCCAGATGCTAAGGCATCATCTATAGCTGTCTTTAATTACTCAGAATTCTAAGAATTTCACTTTTCAAGAACATTGTTTAATGAGCCAGAACTTCCAGAACACCTTTTTTTAAATGCTCCTGTTCCCATTTTAGTTTCCAAAATCCCAAATGAAGAAAGCTTCATGAAGATCTGTACCATATATTTACTTAACTCATACAAATGTATTATAAATGTGTATTTAGGAATAGTCCTGAAAAACATCACTGACGTCAGAATACTTACTTATACCCACAGCAACCCCAGGCTTCACATCTGCTTGAACTCCTGTCCCCTCCTATTTTAGCCAGTAACTCCCTTGATCATATTGTTATGACTAGTAAGTGTTAACTCCTCAGAATCTCAATTTTTAAATACATCACCCTAACCACTGCTTCCTGCATTTCCAGGTCATTCCCTTCTAGTACCTCAACTCTAACCATATATAATCCACTGATTGTACCCTATTCTCACTCTCCCTCCTCTCCCTTCTTGGCCTCATTTCCCCTGCTTACCTAGCTTAAGTTCCATAGGCAATCATTTCAACTCTGCCCCCTCTCCCTGTGGTCAGTCGGCTTCTGTTGGCAAAACCACAACTTTGGTTAAATTCAATTCATCTATTCTATGCCTGCACCCGTGCAGCTTTATGTGTTTAAAAGAGCCATACTCACTGGTCTCACTTTAAATCACTAACCTCGAGTCAGCCTTCACTTCGCCGGGTTACCAAACCCTGTCGACCAGGTCCATTCACTCCCCCATTCTTCCAACCAAGAGGACCCCTGTCTCCAGTATCTAACTGCTACATGGTATTTCCCCTTGAAATCTAAAACCAAACTCCTGACCAGCCCTTCCCCTAACCTCGAACCTCCCCCAATTTCTCAACCCCAAAATGTCTCTGACATTTCTCTTTATCTCATATTCTGCAACTAAACTTTTGGTAAATCTTCTTGATTTTATCTTTAACATATAACCGGAACTCACCACCTCTGAAGTCTATAGCTACCATCTAAGACCAAGCTAGCAATCGTTCTCAACTAGATTACTGGTTAGCCTCCTAAGTGTTCCCCTAATTTTGCCCTAGCCTCCATACTTCAGCCTTAAGGTATCATCAACAAGACAACTGCATGTATTTTCAAGATAGCACTTTAGACCATAAAATAGCCAAAGTAATTGACCTTCAGGGGATACAAACACATGATAGTCTAACTGATATGACTGAGCTAGCCAATTAAAGATTCATCTAGTACTTAGTTCAGAATTATAAGACTTTTGAAAATGTCTTTTTAAAAAGGCAAGAGATAATTAACATTGCTAATTCATTTTCTTCAGAAATCCCAATATGGCAAAACTTATGTTTTTAAAATTAGAGAAAACAATTTAACCAAAACCATCAAATTTCATGTTAAATTCTCAATGTTTTCAATGCCCAACACTGATTTTTAAAAAGAAATTAAATAACATGCTTTCACTGAAAAATTTTTAAATTCTATACAATTCAAGCTAATGAAATATTTTATTGTACATAGTAAAAGTGGTGTTTTTTAAAAAAAACACTTCCAGGCCCAGACATCTGCAGGAGTATGTGAGGAAGGGATTCCACTGGAGTATAATAAGCAATACTCGATTGAATGAAACCATAAATCCACCCCACTCTCTATAGTAAATGCTAACATTCAGCAGTGTTGAAACCCTGTAGCATCAGTAAATGTATATTTTAAAATATTACAAACATGCTTATGATGCATAGGAAGACGGAAAAATTTAGACTGTAATGCACACCATATGTACTCCCAGCTTTTCTGATTTACAACCAGTTAAGAATCACAATATCCAAAGAAAGTATTTTAAAATAATATGTGACTCACTGATAAGTGATATTCTACTCAAATAAATAGGAAAATTTTCATTTTAATGTCACATTGAATTTCAGTACTTTTCAATCCAAGAAAAGAAATAAACTGAGACATGGTCATGAGTTCAGGATTATATATATTACAATTTGCCTTGTTATAATACATTTGTGGCTTTATGATAAAAATAACTCAAGGACATATGGAATTCAAGCTAATCTGCGTAACTGTCACAAGAAAAGAAGCATTAAATGCATTTCTGAAATAAGTATTTTCATTTAATTTCAGAATCTCAAAACAGCATTAGACCTTGGCCTTGTTTAAAAAAAGTTTAGTTAAACACTAAGCTAGCTAAATAACCTTCTTGAAAGGTTCAAACACAATTGATATAGAAAATGCTTTCCCTCTAATCTCAATCTTACATAAATGGAAGAGGTGAGGGGGAAAAGGTAGACAATTTCTTTAGCAGCATATATGGCTAAATCCATCAACCACCTTAAACTAGAATGTCCATTATTGACCCCATTAAAAAGAACTGGGCAAATACCAAAAGTTACCCACTTCATAAACCAAAAGACAACAATTTTAGGGTTACGATAAGTAAAATATTTTTGAAAACTTCAAAAACTTTTAACATTAAACTAGAGGAATCATCTCTTAATTGTAAGAAAGATAGGTATAACAGAAAGTAAAAGACATTTTAAACTTAACTGATTTTCAACCCTCTTTGAACAAAAGAAATGAAAAATAATGGTTGATTAGCTAAGCTTTGTGCTTTAACCAAACTAATTAATTACAGTGATTTTAAATGGCAACAGCCCATTTGACTGGGTGGCTTGACAGTTCTGAATACTTTTGCAATGATTTTTTTTAAAACGCAAAGACACTAAAATGACCCGGTCATGCAATGTTCATCTTATGCATTCTGCATCTCTTTGCCAATCTTGTAGCTAAGGATCTTGTTCCAATCAATCTTAGTGCGTGTAACTGGCAACTGTCGACGTAAGGCTTTGAAAGTAGTATCCGACATTGTCTGATAATTCTCACTGATGGCGGTCTATGAAAAATAGTAGTTAAAAGTTTAAAGAAATAAAAGGAACAGAACAATTTATAAAACATACATGTTTTAGGAAAAATCTTTATTTAAGCAGCCTCTTTCACTGTTTTTAAAAAGTAGAAAAAAAAGGAAAATAAAAACTCCAATGTGGTTTTAAATGTTATTTAAAAGCAGCTAACAGAAAAAGCTTACTACTGCTATTATTATTATATTTTTAAGTAAGCTCCAAACCCAACATGGAGCTTGAACTCACAACTCTTTAGATCAAGAGTCATATGCTCTACTAATTAGACAGCCTGGTGCACCTAAAAAGTCTGTAATCTTTTTTGAATAATTAAATTTAATGAAATGAACTTGCAAATTATTTAATATTTGTGTGTCTTCATTTTGGATCTATTTTACTATTTCCCTCAGAACAATTTTATAAATTACTGTTTGCAAGGAGTAGAAATGTGGCCAATCCACAAATTAAATGCGTAAGTTCAAGAGCGCAGTTTAGAAACTGATAAATAATGTAAAAGGTAGAGTATAAAATGAAATATGATCTAAGTAAGTCACATATAATCCAAGTGCTTTGGGAAATACTTCATAAATTAAAATTTTCAATCAGAAATCCACTTAAAATCTTGACATATTGTGGGGCGCCTGGGTGGCTCAGTCGGTTAAGCGTCCGACTTTGGCTCAGGTCATGATCTCATGATTCATGGGTTCGTGCCCCATGTCAGGCTCTGTGCTGACAGCTAGCTCAGAGGCTGGAGCCTGCTTCAGATTCTGTGTCTCCCTCTCTCTCTGACCCTCTCCAGCTCACACTCTCTCTCTCTCAGAAATAAAAAAAACAAAAAAAACCCCTTGACATATTGTGACCAATACTCAGGAATTACAGCTGGTTAAAATAGTTTTGGCTATATTAAGTTTGCCACTGAAATAAAAGAAAAAAACAAACAAAAAGCCCCCAAAACTACATTTTATTATAGTGAAACAATGAAAAGGTCAGGCTTATGACTGAAATTAAAATTTCAGTGCCATAATTTATAAGCAAATATGTATCATGTAATATTTTTGAAAATCATACCTGGTATTCATTTTCTGCAGCTTCTACAATCTTTATAAATTCTTTTGCTGTCTGCACTTCATTCTGAATGAAAAACAAAACCAAAATAAATAGTAACTTAAAACTACATTATTTAAGTTTTCCAATTTTTTTGAGTATAGCTGACACACAATGTTACAGTAGTTTCAGCTGTACAACATAGTGATTCGACAAGTTTATATATTATGCTGTGCTCACAAGTGTAGTTACCATCTGTCACCATACAATGCTATTATAGTATTATCGACTACATTTTGTGCCTTTTATTCCCATGACTTCTTTCTATAAGTAGAAGCCTGTATTTCCCACTCCTCTTCACCATTTTGCCCATCTCCTCACCTCCACTCTCTCTGGCAACCATCAGTTTGTTCTCTGTATTTATATTTGCTTTTCGTTTATTCATTTGGTTTTTTTGTTTTTAGATTCCACATGAATGAAATCCTATGGTATTTGACTCTCTCAATCTGACTTATTTCACTTATTTTAATATCCCGCAGGCCATCCATGTTATTGCAAACAGCACGATCTCCTTTTTAATGGCTGCGTAATATTCCTGCGTGTGTGTGTGTGTGTGTGTGTGTGTGTGTGTGTGTGTAATTGTGTATACACACATCTCCCACATCTTCCTTATCCATTAGTCTATTGATGGATACTTAGGTTGCTTCTGTATCTTGTAATTATTCATTAGTGGCATTACTGAATCATATGGTATTTCTATCTTTAATTTTTTGAGGAACCTCCACACTGTTTTCCACAGTGGCTAACTAGTTTGCATTCCCACAAATAGTACATGAGGGTTCTTTTCCTCCATATGCTTATCAACACTTATTATTTCTTGACTTTTTGATTTTAGCCATTCTGATAGGTATAAGGTGATATCTCATTGTGGTTTTGATTTCCATTTCCTGATGATTAATGATGTTGAGCATCTCTATGTGTCTACTGGCCACCTGTATGTCTTCTTTAGAAAATATCTATTCAGGTCCTCTGCCCATTTCCTCGCCCATTTTTAATCAGACTGTTTCCCATAATTTTGTTTCCCATGCCTGAGGATACATACTTTGAAAAATTATCCGAATGGCAAGGTCAAAAATACTACTGCCTATGTTCTCTTTTAGGATTTTAATGGTCTCAGGTTTCACATTTAGGTCTTTAATCCATTTTGAGTTTATTTTGTGTATTATTTTTAAATAAGTATGTCAATATATGTATGGTTAAAGATTTACTATAATTTAATAACACAGGTGGAAATTATGGCAAAGGGGAAAGACTGTATTATCAGTTATCCTAAGTCTAAGGGGAACACGTCAAAAATATTTTAACAGTCTACAGAATGAGCCTGGTTTCACTGTTTAAGAAAAGTGAAGTCTTAATAATACATATTGAAAGTGCCTGGGTGGCTAATTTGGTTAAGCGTCCTATTTGGCCCTAGTCATGAAATTGCAGTTTGTGAGTCTGAGCCCCATGCTGGGCTCTGTGCTGACAGCTCAGAGCCTGTAGCCTACTTTGGATTCTGTGTCTCCCTCTCTCTCTACCCCTACCCCTCTTGTGCTCTGTCTTTCTCTCTCTCTCAAAAATAAAAATAAACATTAAAAAAATTTTTTAAACACATATTAATGAAAACTTTAATTATAACACTTAACATGAATTTGACAATCTTTATAGGTAAGTAGTCATATATTTCTAAGTAATGACTGAATATTATTAAATATGCACTGAACAATATTTACCATCATAATAATACATTTTTAAAACATTAGGAAAAGTCTATTTTAAAGTTTAAGGTGAGAGGCACATGGATGGCTCTGTCAGTTGGGAGTCTGACTTCAGCTCAGGTCATGATCTTGTGGTTCACGGGTTCAGACCAGCACTGGGCTTCATGCTAGCAGCACAGGGCTTGCTTGGAATTATCTCCCTCACCCCCTCTCTAAGCCCCTCCCCCACTTCCTCTCAAAATTTTAGAAATATAGTTTAATGTGAATTTACTGTAGTGTTTAAATATGTTCTGGAATATATGGGTTTCTTTGCTTTTCCTAACAGTAAAAAAGTTACTAGAAATTTAAACTATTTCATATATCAGTGCTAATGTAAAATTCTCTACTATCTTACTTTATGTATTATACATATTTACATATATATTTCCAGAACATGTGCATTTTTTCTGTCCAAAAACAGTAAAAAAATAAAATCCTGTGTAAGGTAAAGTGAAAACTGCATTTCTAAAAAGCAGCACAAAATGCGTATAAGTCAAGTTTAATTACTATGAACATCTCTCACAACTCCACAGTCTATACTTTTGTAGACAGCTGTCTCTTAGGAAGATATCTTTGCTCAGTGTCAAACTCCCTAAAGAAGAGAGCACCAAGTACCCTGTCAAGCAAATAATGTTACATGTATGCACATGATACAGAACAATACCAAATACAGTGTCTCACGGAACACCAGACATTAGTTTCTTTAACTGGCAAATTTTGCAAGTAGAGTACCATTTAGCAAAAAGGCAGAAATCATCTAAGTGCTAATGAAACATTTTTTTAAATACCAGCTCTCTTCCCTTCTCAGGTAGCATCTGGCCTGATACATTCACACATTTCTTAATGTTAAATCAAACACTTTCTTAAATTAAAAATTAACTCTTTATATCTTAGGTTAATTTTGTATATTAGTAGTTGATGTTTATAATATATTGGTACTTTGAGATGTAAAACACAAGTGTTTATGGGAAGATGTAAAATGTGACTACAAGTATTATATTATTAATATCACTGGGGCAAAAAGAATCCACAGATAAATAGCTGCATATGTAATGGAAAGAATGTATGAGAAAACTATGTGGAGAAATAAAACCAAGTTCAAAGTTTCTTGAATTTGAAAGCTGAACTTGAGAAAAACTTCATTAAATCATAATCCAGATACGGGGGAAAAAATAGAATTTAAAGTTAAGTACAGAATCACAGACCTAAATTTAAGAGGTAAAACTATAAAATTCTTAGAAAAAAATACTGGAGTAAATCTTCATGACCTTAGGCAATGGTTTCTATTAATATTCCAAAAGTACAAGTAACAAGAACATAAAATAAATTTGACTACATCCAAACTAAAATCCTTTGTTCTGCAAATGATATGATCAAGATACATGGAACAGGAAAAAATATTGGCAAATCCTATTATCTGATACAGGACTCATATCCAGAATATATAAGCAACAATCACAACTCACCAATAAAACCACAAGTAAACAATTAAGAACTAGACAAAGGATCTGAATAGACATTTTCCCAAAAAAGGCATATAAGTTACCAATAATACATGAAAAGATGCTCAGTATCATTTTCTATTAGGGAAATGTAAATAAAAACCACAAGATTCATCATTCATTCATCATCTGAATTCAAGATTCATTCATATCAACTAGGATTATTATAATCAAAATGGCAGCCATAAGTTTTGGTGAAGATGTGGAGAAACTGGAGCCCTCAACTGATGTAAATGTAAAATGGTGAAGCCACTTTGGAAAAACTCTGGCCAAAGTTTTTCAAAACGTTAAACTTAGAACTACCATGAATCAGCAATTCCATTACCACCAAAGAAAAATTAAAACAAGGAAGAGTACACAAAGGTTCAAAACAGCAAAAAGTAAAAAACCATACAAATATCCATCCAACTGATAAAGTGATAAATGCAACGTGGTATATGGAATATTATTTGGGAATAAAAAACAATTTACTACTGATGCATGCTCCAACATGGATAAAACATTAAAAACGTCATGTTAAGTGAAAAAAGTCACAAAAGATCACATGCTGTAGGATCCCATTTAAATGAAATGTCCAGAATAAGCAAACCCATGGCGTTAAAAAATAAATTCACAGTTGTCTAGGACTGAGAGGGGTAGGGGAGAGGACTCGTTGGGGGATGGGCAGTGCCTGCTAATGGGTAGAGGATTTTTGGAAGACAAAATAGTTCTAAATTAGATTGTGGTGATTATTGTACAATCTTGTTAAATACTAAAAAACAAGGAATTTTGCACTTTAAATGGGTGAACTGAATGGTATGTGAATTATATATCAATAAGGCTGCTAAAAAAGTCAGGTACAGACATCTTTAATCTACCTAAAAACACTTAAATCAGAGGCAGAAATATTACTTAAAATATTAATTCCAGAACTATTCTGGTTTTACAGAAGCATTAGGTTGTTGAAATTTTATTTTGGAATTACTTACAGACACTGTTAGGGAATCTTGTATATCTTTATGACTCACTAACTGAACATTACCATCTTCATAATAATGAACCTATTAGAAAAAGAAATTATAGAGACCACATTATAAGAATCATCAAGATCTTCATAGTTTCAACAATCACATCAGTGCATATGACCATCAATTTCCACTCTAAACCTAGACTTCTCTGCTGAGCTCCCGACCTTTCAAACTCCAGTGAAACTTTCTGCTCTCATAAAGGGAGGAGACAAATTTGCAGTTCTTGTATTTACTCAGACAAGCCCTCCACTGACCTGACTGCTGGACATTTTTACCTCATAGATATTCTACTGATATCTAAACCCCAGATGTCCAAAATTGAGCTCACAATATTCCCTCCCAAATGTCACTCCTCTTTTGTGCATTTCCACCAACCATTTAATTCCTCGAATTCGGACATGAATTTATTCAATAAACGCTGGGTGATTACTATATATGCCTGTTACTACAGAAGGTTCCAGGGATGCACAGCTTTTAAAAAAGAGTCCCTGGCCTTATATTTCAACACAATACAGAAAGAGTTATGTTCAACGTCTTGAGACTCTCTAGGAGATTTAAAGAAGGATTTCAGAAAAGAGGTAATAAATAGTTGCATTTAAAAATAGGAGTATGACAACAATTAAACCAGGGAAGATAAAGCAACTGAACTTTGAGAACAGCATTCTTTAGAAATGGAGGTACTTATAGCTGGAATGTGTGTGAGACTACGGAGGGAGAAGAGTGGCTGAAGAAATAAATAGGTAAAGACGAGTCAACTTTGGGCCTTGTATGCCATGCAAACATGTCTGGACTATCTCGTAGGTAACCGTGGTCTTACCTAAGAAAGTAATATATCTAGATTTAAATTTTTAAAAATCATCTTTGCGATGATAGCAATGTGAAAAATAGATTAGGGGATGGCAAAGGGTCCAGTAATTCAACAAATTAACAATTTTATGCTAGGCATCGTGCTAACTGATGAAGACAGAACTGTGAACCAGACAATTCCAGCTCTCAACAAGCTTTGGCTCAACAGAGGCTTCATTTTAGAAAAAATTCAGGTGAAAGCTACTGAGGCCTAACTGAAGCCTCACTGGTCACCATTCATCAAGCACTTCACATCTGGCTCTGTTCTAACCATTTTGCCCATATCAACTAATCTTCAGACAATCATTTGAGCTTTCTATTACTGTTTTCATTTTTTGACTCATGAGGAAACAAGCAAAAACAGCTAAATTAAATAACTTCCTGTCGTAATATAACTAAGCAGACAGAACTGGGATTCAAACTCAAGCAGTCTGCTTTCAAATTCCACACTCTTAATCTGTATTCTCTAGCCCCTAATGGACAGTTATACTGAGACACAAAAGACTAGACATGTATAGTGGAGTCAGGTGATATAACAGCAGTATCTGATTCATCTTTATTCCTTTATAGCTTTTAGCACAATACCTTTCATGATAGTTAACAAATGTATTGAATAAATAAGTGAACCAAGATAGAAAAAGACTGTTCAGTCTTTTCCTTTGACTTGTTTAGTAATATTTATATTCAAATACTTGGTTTTATTTATTAAATGTTCTTCTATATAAACATTTAAGCTTACATTAAGAGTCAAAGAATTCAATTATGGTAGATTTCTTATAAGAAACCAAATAAGAATATAGAAGATACTTGAAGGATATATGTCATATGTACACATATTAATATATACATATAATAAAAGGTATTTATAATCTAACATACATACATATACTAATATTAAACTTCACCCAATTCCACCTAATTCAGAAAATAGAACAGCACAACTCAAACTCAGAGGATGCCTGGATGAAAAAACTGTATGAAGAGCAGACCAAATGGTAGTATCTAATTTTAGCTGTGTTTTTAGAATCTGTAAGCTATCCTTGCAGATTTTTATGACTGCAAGGTTATTTGAAAGATGAAATCAGCACTACCTGTTTTTCCCATTACCTCAAAACAAATATCTGGGAAAGAAATGGTGATTGTATACTAAGAAAACGTAAACTTATGAGTTAGTTGTTTCTCTGTTCAGAGTCATCTAGAGATCAGTAAACAAATACTTTTTACTTCATACCTGAATTTTCAAGATGCCAACCACTTGAGTGGTTGAAGGAGTGATTGTAAACTTCCATTCTGACCTCCAACGACCATTCCTTAAAAATAAAAACAGCAGCTGTAAATAAGGCAGGGAAAATAATTTGAATAAATTTTAAGTTCTGGATTTAAATTTAGTGCTACAGTATGCGAGTACGTGGGAAGGATGCTGGATATTCATTTTTTAATCACTGAAATACTTCAAAGAATCAAAGGGTTAAGTTCAGTTATGAGCTACATTTGGTCTTCATCCTATTGATTAAAAAGAACCTATATAATGGACTCAACTAATGAATTCTAAAGCTAAGTCTTAAAATACAGTTTAAAAACTAAATTAAATAAGCTACTTTTGGAGAAAATTTTAAGCTACTTCTTTACAACTGACACATTTGTGCTTTAAGAATGAACTGAGTAAATAGATGAAGGAGAGCTGGAGATATAGGCTTCCAGTTATGAAATTAAGAAGTCAAGAGGATAAAAAGAAACAGGGAATATACTCAAAAACACTGTAATAAGGTATGGTGACAGATAGCAGTTTTACTTGGGGTGAGCACAGCGTAACTATAAACTTGTCCAATCATTACACTTTATACCTTAAACTAATATAACCTTGTGTGTCAAGTATACTTCAATTAAAAAAAAAAAACCTGAGTCAATGTTCAGATCATCAGGGGCTTTCAAAGTACAGTCAACCCAGTTTGACAGTCACTGAATGATACAAAGTACCAAATAATTTTAAAAACAAGGGATAGAAATACATTTTATATCCAGAAGAGAAGGTCTTTATATAAGGAGTTGTAAGAGTCCATTATTTTTTCTCTTTTCCAGTTTAAGGATTCAATTTCCACATAAAAGGTACAACCTCTTCTCACTTCTCAAAAATGACTTTTAGGGGGCACCTTGTAGCTCAGTTGATTGAGCATCTGACTTTGGCTCAAATCATGATCTCTCAGTTCATGAGTCTGAGCCCTGAGTTGGGCTCTGCTGTCAGTCTGTCAGCTGGGAGCCTGCTTTGGATGCTGTCTCACTCTCTATGCCCTTCCCCTGCCTGTGCTCCCCCCAAAATAAATAAATATTAAAAAAAAAAAAAAAACTTTTGGCATACAAATTAACATATATTAATGGTAGGAAATTGTGACATTACAAACAAGCAACCAGTATATTGTTAACTCATTTTTGTCTCCTTGTCCATATATCAACACTGACTGCAAAAAGTAAAAAGGAATTCCAAATCAGGTAATGGTAACTGACAATTTAAGAACTATTTCAAAAGATCCTTCCAAAGGCATTACTACCATATAGTAATGATAAATGATGCTGAGTAGATAGTACAGACCCCTTTTATCAGTGGAGAACATACTTGAGATGTCCTAGATTTTATTTATATTCTTCCCTCTCTTCTATTAACACTGTAACTAACAAATGTTAATTTGTTATTCAACAAATATTTATTAGGCCTCCAAAACTGCTAAACATTAGGGAAACAGGAGAGACCAAGAAGAAAATGTCCTAGTAAAATCTGAGAAACATCCATGACTAATACCTTTTGAGTTTTATTCCATCTGTATTTTAGGTGAACTGAAGTATATTTCTTTGTAACAAACTATTTAGATTTTACTGAGATTATTGTGGTATGTCATGTTTAATACTTTGGAATGTCATTTAAAATTTATCTTTTCTAAAAAGTGGAAGTAAGTTTTAACTTCAATGATACAATGTTCATAGTGATAGTTTGGGAGAAAAATTCACATTTTTGTGAAGCAGATTAGTGAGAATAGAAAACTCAAGCATCTTCATTTTACATAAAGCTCAAATAAATTCTGTTTTTGAAAACTGATTAATAAATTCACTAAACATCTCCAATACATTTTAAAGTAAAACTTAAATAAGAATTTTCCTTTAATAGTTCAATCTTTAGAAGACTGATTTTAGGATATTTATCTTGGCACAAATAGCATAAATTACTAGCAATTTTGTGAAGATTTATTTCTTTAGGATATTGGTAGGTTACTGCTACAAGTTTTTATGCCTAAAATGGAGGAACTACAATTATATTAAGTCCATAAAAGTAACTTTGTACATCAGAATCTTTAGGGAATTACAGCTTGTCATCAAGGCTTATGTTTACAGATGGAATTGATTTTCCTTCAGTGATCATGGATCTGCATGCCTCCAAATGTTCTTGGTTAACCATGTAACCTTGCATTTATTTCCAAGATGGTTAAACAGTGGAGCAATCTTGGGCCATGGACCAAATCAGTCCACAGGGGTTACTGATACCTCTTACTCTACCCTCAAGAGCACAACCAACCAACTCAGCTAACAAGTCAAATATTATGACTATACTTACTCTGATGATATTAGTATGTATTAACAAAAAAGGAGGATAAAGGTAAACATTTCATTCAAGTCTGAATTTATGAAGTCTTGCAGAGCCTCAAAATTTTATTAAAAGAGGTATCTCAGAAATAGTCTTGTCCAAAGAATAAAAAAGCCCAACATGTCAAAGGTCCAAGACTAATAGTGAAAGTCAGTGCTTTAGGGGACTGGACTTTTATAAGGAATAATCAAATAATTTCTTTGATCATAAAATTATAACCCAAATAAAATTATGATGATAATATGCCTCACTGTATAAAACATGTCATTACTTCCTTACATTTGCCAATCAAGCATTAAGCAATCTACATGAAAATATCTACTTCTGAGCCCCCAAAGTTCACCAGAAAAATCACTATTCTTTCCTTTATGATCACCTCAGTCCTCTTCTCCCATATAAGTCTCACTCAGGAACAATCCCTTTTCAGAATGAGCATACGGGCTTGCCAACTGGTCTGCTCACAGGCACAAATGTTCCCTTAGGATGCTGCGTGCAAGTCTCTAAAAACACTCAATGCCATCCCACGCTCTTTTCACAGAGTGTCAATGGATTTACTGCTACCTTTAAATAAGTGTGCTGATTATGGAGCAGATACCTTTCTTATATCAAAAGGCTGAAGCTTTACGTTTAGACTGCACTTAGTCAATTATAAACAAATAAGGGATAGGTCCAACCAATAAAGCAAGGATTATAGAGGATATAAGCAATGTCAAAATTCCCCAAAATACAAAACTGTCACTTACCAAAAGTTTTTTGCTTGGAACTGATGGCTTTCTATGCATGCAATAATGGTTTGCTGTCCATCTATTTTTTTACCATATACCTTAATGGCAAAAAAAAAAAAAAAAAAAGAGAAGAGTAAATGCAGAGCCACAGAATGTTCAATTTTAAACATTTATAAAAAACTGTGTATCACTTTGATAGGAACATATAAAAGAATACCAAGTAGGTCATCATTTCAATATAGTAGCTAGAAAAACAAATACTCTAACATGTACACTTATAATCACAAATTTTAGTGAATCATGATGAGCTCAATATTATTTATTTATTTATTTATTTATTTATTTATTTATTTTAAATGTTTATTCTGAGAGAGAGTGCAAGTGAGGGAGGGGAAGACAGAAGGGGACAGAGGATCTGAAGTGGGCTGTGCATCAACAGCAGCGAGCTTGATGTGGGGCTTGAACTATGAATCACGAGATCATGACCTGAGCTGAAGTCGGATGCTTAACTGAGCCACTGAGGTGTTCCAAGAGCTCAAAATTTAAGAAACAAAACCCATCATTATACTCTAAAATATTCATAAACATCCTAGACATACCAAACTCTTCATTCCAAAAACAGGTATCACAAGGGAAGTTTATTTTAAACATAGATACCAATTTGGCTGTTTATACACAAACAAATATTGGACCTACATTGTAATTATTACCTTTGTTTCCTTTATGATCTTGGGGGTTCCATTTCTTTAGTCATTTTACAAAGTATTAGGATAGAGCTGAGAAAGTTAATTTACTTATAGATGAGAAAGGTCATTAATAGAATGCCTGTGATAATATGATGATGTTATTTTACCTCTTGCTTACTGCTTTAAAAGTAATGGATATTTTGTGTCTCTCAATCCTCCTGGAACAAATAAGACTCTCATACTCAACCTAACTACCTATTCTTGAGTTATTCTTCCAAAATAATCCTAATCAACAAGGTTATAGTTCAAAGAATTTGTGAAGTATTTTTGGTTATGTTGCAATTTTTCCTCAAATAATTACTGAGAACTAAATTCTTAAGGAAGGGGACCATATGAATTTCTGTCCTACCCAGAAAACTTCTGAGACTGAACTAGGATACTACTGGTAATATTAATAATTATGTTGGGAAAGCAAGTAAAAAAAGGATGTATGGTAACCTTAGGTTCCAGAGGTAGGCAGGGGCCAGGTCCATAGTGCCACAAAAGCTTGGACTCTGTTCAGAAGCCTGGATTCTATCCTAAGTGTAATGGAAAAACCTTTGAATGATTTCAAGCATGGGATTTCCATGATCTGATCTGAACTGCAAAAGATCACTTATGCTATGGAAAGGATCAAAGAAAACACAAACTGTGGGGACATAAAGACTATTTGGATACAATCTTATTAAAAAAAAAAAAAGAAAAAGCATTACTAGATACTATCATAGTTTATCCTGCAAATATACAAATATGTTAAACCTATGAAAGAAAACATTAAAAAAAAAAAACTTGATTATAAAACATGCAAGGATAGGATTCCATTTTCAAATAATTTAATTTGTTCTAAAGGCTTATAACTTAATGAAAAAAAGTTTGATCTAAACTTAATGAGATGAGTTGTGAACATGAGATTAAAGAATCTTATCAAGCTCTAATCAATGCAGGACAATTCTTATGTAGATTTAATTCAAAGTACATTTTCCCATTTTAGGCAATCATAATATATTTACTATTTAGAGTTTCTTGAAAAAAATATTCTTAGAAATGTTTACTTGAAAAAATGGCAACTTATAAAATATCAGTTCTGTAAATTATTATAGATCAGGAGATCATAAAAACACTGTCATATTTACATAAGACAGAAGAAAAAATATGCCTATTGATGACTTACAGTGCAGACCCCATTTGGATAATGTTCTTTTACATAAGCTCGCAGAGCAGTTTCTACTGAAGTTCTCCATGATTCAACTGCATTTTCTGCTTCATATGGTCTTGGATCAGTTGCTTCCTTTCTTAAGTGATCAAATTTGAAACAGATTCTGTTTTTGGGATCCAAAAACTTTCCATTTCCCAAGTCGCCATGTTCTGTTATCAATACCTTCAAGGATGCAATGAATTTTGAAAAAAAAAGTATTTAAAATAGCATTTAAGTACTGATATACATTAATATACATTCACTTAAACTTTGTCCTTAACATGGTAAAATAAATTCTACTCCAAGCAACTGGTTTAACTATATGGCACAACTATAGTAATTCAAATAAGGCTATTCTCATTCAGCTTAGATCAGTGGATCTTTCTCCCAGTATAACTTCTGGCTATCTGTTGAAAATAATGCATCTTTTAATATACTGCTGGAGACTTTTTTTTTTTTTTTCTTGAGAACTATACACAGTTTACTATTTCTGTAATCAGTTTCTACTCCTCAAAACCAAGAAATATGGTAATAACCTCCAATGAGACTGGTTACAAGAATGGCTTTAACACAGACAGAATACTCTTCAGAGTGTCCTATATTGCTCCTGGGCCCCAAATCTCATCTACTGTGAAGTGCCTGATTATTTTCATAATCTATTCATTGACAGCTGTTTTCAACTAACTTCCTAATTTTTTAAACGTGTAATTTATTCATTTATGTACATTTAAATTGTACGTGCATAAATCTGATATTCTGTGCTTTGTTTGAAAAGTTTCCCTCTTTTTCTTCCGTCCCAACTCTCCCAATCTTTGATGGCTTACCTATATCAGGACTTCTCCTTCCCTTTGATACAAATCACGTAAACATAGAATGTATCCTTCTAAATTTTTTTCAATCATATAATCCTACATAGATAAGTAAATACACATCTATTTATACATACACACACCGGGTTTTTTGGGGTCACTGTTTCACAAGAATGGAATGAAAATGCATGCACGCACACACACATTTGTCTGAATCTGACTTTTTTCAATATCAACATTATACTTATAGAAATCCTTCAAAGTCAACTGGTAAACTTCTCATCATTCTTTTTAATGTCTGAATAAATGTCCCATGATGTAAATATAACATAATTTATTCTGCCATTCCTTTATTGATGGACCATCTCTTTATTTTCTGTTTTTCTTTTTCGGGGGAGGAATACGTACATTAAAAATGTTAAAGTATTTTTGTACATAAATTTTAACATACTAATGTTTTTATTTCCACTAAATGCTTCCACATCTCTTAAATATATTCCTGGCAGTGGGGACAGTAGGTAAAAGAGCTATATGTTTTTAATTCTTAATACACTTCCAAAAAATGGCTCTGACAATTCACATTTTTATGAACAGTATATAAGCTATACTTCCTTTCACATTACCACCATCACTAAGCATACAATTCTTTCTTCAGTCTAACACGTATAAAATATCTCATTACTTTAGTTATATTTCTCTGACTACTGACATATCTAAATTCCTTTCACGTGTGGGCCATTTGCTCTTCTGTAAGCAAATATTCTTTAATTTTTTTCATCTGAGTTGTTTTTTTGTTTCATAGATTTATCAGTCCTTTAAGGTATCTGTTTCACTTTATGGTTAAAATAATTACTAAGTAGCAAAATGTCCACCTTTTCTTCTATAGTTTCTGGGTTCCCAGACTTAAATTTAAGAGTATTCCCTGCCTTAATATTGTACAAGTAAAACTCGTTTCTCTTAAAACTTTAATTTTTACAAATTTTTAATCTACCTGAAATTTATTTCTGTATATTGTATGAGACAGTGGTTCAACATAACTTTTTTCTTGACAGAAATCAGTTGTGTCAATTTTTTTACTTATGTCTAAGTTATGATCTTGTCATGCAAAAAAATTTTCATATATTCTGGGACTAAATTCTGGTTCCGTATGCTGCTGTATTGATCTGTTCATCTACTTTATACAATACCATTCTGATTTGACTCTACAATGGTTATAAAGCATCTTCTGCTCTCTAGTAAAAGAATTCTCTCCTTCCAATTCTTCTGTTCTTACATTATTCTTGTTTTTTTCCCCAAGCATGTATTTTTTTCGCATAAATCATGAACATTTTGACCTTAATTAAGAAAACTATTAGGATTCTAATAAATTGCATTAAATTAGTATTTTAACTTTTAAGTACTTTCACTTTCTATTTCAAAATGGAATGTGGTGCTGCCTTCCCACTGTTCACATCCTGTTTTGTGTTTCAAGAAGATAACTATGGTTGTCTTTACAATCTTTTGCCTTTCATGTTAAAATTACACCTAGGTTAATGCATAGTTTAATCATTTAAAATGGAATTCCTCCCCCTCCAACCATTTCTACTGTAAAGAACTAATTTGGCACAATAGAGAACAACTAATGAGTTTAGTATACTTACCTTAAATTCAGCCATCTCACAAAATTTTTTTAGGTCTAGTAGTTTCTTTTGATTGGGAGGTTAATCATGTCACCTAAGAGTTTTCTTTTCCTTCCTAAAGCTTTAAAAGTTCTCATTCTCCTGTCTTATTTGCTATATTTACATTTATGTTAGATAACAGTGATAAGCAGACAAATCTGGCAAATTGTCTATTTTAACTATAATTATTTTAGTGTTTGTAGTTTATGATATTTACTGTGATTTTTGCTAAATAGTCTACTCTATTTAAGAGGTTTCCTTAGGGTTTTTGTAACGAGAACTACCTGCTGGATTTTTCAAATTCTTTTTCACTGTCTAGTGATACATCATAAAGTTTTCCTTTTTGATTTAACAGAGAAGACATATTGTCTTACATGAAACCACTCATGCATTTTTGTAAGAAATTCTATTAGACTTCATATGTCATTCTTTTTGATATATTTCTGAAGTCTATTTGTTAGTATCTATTTAAAGTTTTTAAATCTATGATCATATGTGAGATTAGTGTAGTTTGCTTTCTTTGTTTTACCTTTATTAGGTTTAAGTATTAATGTTATGCTAAGTTCATAAATGAGTTTGGGAGCTATGCAACATTTTAAAAAGATGGATTCCGGGGTGCCTGGGTGGCTTAGTTGGTTAAGCTTCTGACTTTCGCTTAGGTCATGATCTCACGGTTCGTGGGTTTGAGCCCCGCGTCGGGCTCTGTGCTGACTGCCAGCTCGGAGCCTGGAGCCTGTTTCAGAGTCTGTGACTCCCTCTCTCTCTGACCCTCCCCTACTCATGCTGTCTCTCTCCTAGAAATAAATAAAACATTTAAAAAAAAAATAAAAATAAAAAATAAAAAGATGGATTCCCTGGACCCAGCAAATATTCTTCTAGGGATTTATCTTAAGAAAATAACAGTCAATGTGCCCAGAGGTACAAAGATGTACAATAACTTTGTTTACAGTTAAGGAAAAAAGAAGGAAAAAAAAAATCTCCCAACGGAAAGAAAATAAATTTAGGAGATTCATAAAATGAAACACTAAATAACTTCATATATATGCATACATGTGGATACACACATGCATGTCTATGTCTACATATGTATGTTTTCTCTGCAGTTACAAGTCATCTTCTGTCTACACTTTGCCCTCTATAAATACACGACTACATACTACATATTGAATGCCAAATGCAAGCTTTGACATAATGAGCCACTTAGAACTGTTACAACTCTCATGTTCTACCTACCAGTTCCTTCTTCATACTGTTTTACATAAATTGTGCTTCACAAAAGCACAATGTGAATTAATACAATCATTGTTCAGTTATTTGTAACTCTAAACCAAAAAAACCCCCAAAAACAAAAAACAAAACTAGTCGTGACCTTTGGTGGCTTTTCTTAGCTTAGCAATACTAGCTTTCACTTTGAAAGAAAATATTTAATAATTACTAAATGCTAAGTTACTCACATGAAGAACTGTAGAATTCCAGAGCAACCAAAATATGATATAAATCTTACTAATATATATTCTAGTTTTTGGATTAATATAGGATTGATTTTTTTTTCCTATAAAAAACAAGAAAGTAGATTTAAAGCAATTATTTTCTAAAATCTTAAAAGATTTACATTTGAATACTTTTAAAGGGTCTCTCTGCTAATAGTATTATTGGTCTCAACAAAAGAAACCCAATTTTCAATTATTTTGCCCATAAGTGGCTATGATTAAAATGAACACTTTTTAATTTTTAAACATATCACTTCACAATTCTTGCAGAATACATTAACCGTTATAAATGAAACAAAGAATAGTCAGATCCTGTGTTCATACGAAACATACCTGATCTTCATAACCTTCAATTTTTACTGGAGTAAACTGGTCCAAGTTATACTGTGCAAATGCACTAAAAAAGAAAAAGGCCAATTATTCAAAGTTACATACTTAACACTCTTAAGTATGAACAATTCACTTGTCAATAAATCTCCTGCATTGCATATGGCAAATTAAATAAAACTGTAATTCTCCATTATTGATTTTATATTAACCATAATTATTATACAGATATGGGTATTTTTTAAAACTGATGAATAATATCCAGCCTCCAATGTTTAAAAAAAAAAATCAGTAAATATAATTTGACTTTTCATTCAACACCTTGAATGTAAAGATCAGCCATCTACATATTTAATTATTTGAGTATATATTTAGTACACTATATACCAGGAAACAGAGTAGGTACTATGAGAGATGCAGAGTAATCAGGCAGATCCTATGATCAAAGGACTTACAGTTGAATAAGAGAGATAATAGATAAACATAAACATAACACAAAGTAGAAAGTACTATAAGACAATGACCAATATAAAAAGCATCAAGGAGAATTATTTTATTTTATTTATGAGAGAGAGAATGAGGGAGAGAGAGTGCAAGTGAGCAAGGGGCAGAGAGAATCCCAGACAGGCTCCGCACTGAGAACAGGGCTGGAGCTCACCCACTGCAGGGCTCCAACTAACCAATGGTGAAATCATGACCTGAGCTGAAGTCAGATTCTTAACCAACTGAACCACCCAGGTACCTCAAAGAGAATACATATTTCTAAAGACTATATTCCATGAAGACAAAAATAAGAAGAGAAGTAGGGGTAATTTCATTAGAAATCTGACAAAGAGAAATGGCCTTGAAATAATGGGTAGAGTATTCCATTTAGAGGGACCAGGATAAACAAAACACATGAGAAGATAGGTTAGGTCCACAACATAGGAACCACCAAGCTCAAGGCCTGACACATAGCATGTTTTCAATTATACTTACTGAATTGAACTGAAAGGCCCTGGTTAATAGAATAATTACTTCATTTGGGAGACAAAGCAGAATCACAGAAACTTTTTGAGAAAGAAGAACCTAACTACCTCTAAAGATTCATCAGGCAGCAGTGGGTATGACAACTAGACAGTGGAGCAACTAGAGCCCCTCCCCAACCCCCCAAAAAGCAGTTAGGTTATTATTAGGCAAATGTCCACGTTAGAACTGTTGAAGAGTCTAGAGTAGGAAATGGTGATAAGATGGATTTGAGAATAAAACCTCTCTACTCTATTAGTAATGCTAAATTACATATTGTAAAATATTTATAGAAAAGCTTTTCATAGTACAAAACATTATCTAAAAAATATGTAAGGATCATATATAACCTGGGAATTTTTTTCTCCACTTAACAGAAAAGATATGATTTTAAAATTTGGAAATACATCTCTAATCTACCTGGAAGATTTTCTAGATGTCAAGACATCCACTGAATTTTCAGGTATTAGCTACTGAGTCTCATCTAGAAAGAAATGTTTGGTTGAGCAAAGCACTACTGATAAAATAGCAGACATTTAAATCATTTAAATTCAGCTCAAAGCTACTTCTAAATAGAAATTAAAAGTTCCTCCCTTTGGGCTCCAAAAGCGTTTGATATGCCTCTAATATGATACTACTTTGTTTCATTTGGCCTGATACTAAACATCTCTGACTGCCCATTAGAAAATCCCTAAGAGGCTTATTGATCTCATTATCACAGTGAAGTCTGGCATTCATAGGTCAGTTGAATAAAAGGCTCTTTCTGGACATTTAAAAGTTAGACTTGAGAGTACCAACTCTTTGCTATGTCTACTTTTCCATCTTAAGAAACAAACTGAATTTGTGCTCCTAGTAAAAATATCCCATTAAAACCACTTAAGAATAACAGCCATATTTTCCCCCTTACAAAAAGATAGGAAGAGAGGGAAAAAAAGGATTAAAAGAGTTAAAGCAGCAGGGAAAAGACAAGACAGAAAGACAGACGGAAAGAAGGAAAGAAGGAAAGAAGGAGAGAAAGAAAGAATGAAAGAAAGAAAGAGGAGAAAGAGAAAGAAAGAAAGAAAGAAAGAAAGAAAGAAAGAAAGAAAGAAAGAAAGAAAGAAAGAAAGAAAGAAAGAAAGAAAGAAAGAAAAGAAAAAAAGAGAAAGAAAGAGAAAAGAAGTATGTATATGTACGAAACAGAAGTACTTGAACAAAAGAAATTCAGTATCAAAGATCAGAAGTGATGAGAAATGCGATTATAGCTCTGGTGAGACCACCACTAGGACATGTTCTAAATGATTTTATTGTGCCTTGCAAATTTTGGTTACGTAGTTCTGGACAGCCTCAATGATTAGTGATAAAGTTTCTTTAAAGGGTGAAACCAAGTTTGGAGATATTTTAAAAGTAATTCAGAACAAAATTTAGTGAATAATGAGGATAATACTATTTCTGCTTGAAAATTACTTCCTATAGAAGACACCGTGACCAGTTAACCAATGATTTAAGGCGTATTTCTCACTTCACAGATACCCTCAGATGTCTACCAGATGAATTCAAATAGTTTTGAGAAATTTAGTATGAAGACTACTACTGAAGTCAACAAAAAGAATATTTTCTCTAAGTGTTCATCTAGTTAGCAATCATTTAATAGTATATACAAGTACATACAAGACAGTTTGAACTTTCTCCTTAAGGTTTTGATGCTTTTTCTTGGTAAATATCTTGTTTTATCATTACTTACTGATTTCTTCACACTCATTTCCTTAGAATATCAGGTATTTCCATGTATACAAAATGTGGACTACAGCTGTCCCAAAATGTGTTTCATAATAAAAGAGATATGTAGCTCACATTCTAATTTCTTTTTAGAACAAATATAACTTATTTAACTTTAATGTAAAAACCATCATCAGATAAATACTTCTTTGGACAAACAAAATTTCAATACTTTCATCAATGAGTCAAATGTGGCAGTTTCATACCACTTATATAATTATGAATATTTCTTTGACCTTCATTAAACTTTATTCTCTGGGAAAAAAACTCTTGTTCTTTCAACAAATCAAGTTTCTCATTTTCTTAACTAAAAACAAAACAAAACAAAAACCACTAATTCTTGACCCTACATGAAACAACTGACACGTTTATTTACCACAGAGAATTCAGAGGAATAGTTTACTTTGAAAGTACTGATGTTAGAAGTTATAAATGCTGTAATTTTCTTTACTTCCTTAAGATTTTTGTCAACATGGCATATGCTACTATAAAGAAAATTCATTTTATATGAATATACAAATAATTTAAATATGGTTTAAAAAAACTTAGGAATAAGTAGCCATTCTCTCAGAAGCTAATAATTAAAGTCAAAGATACAGAGTAAATTGATTTCTATGAAGCACTTTAACTATAATAATTAAGAGAAGTGGAAGCAATCCAAATGTCCATTGGCAGATGAATAGATAAACAAAATGTGGTTTATAAACACAGTATTAACAAGATAACAAATTTTGACATGTACTACAGCATGGAAGAACCCTGAAAACATTATACTTTATAGACTAAACCCACCACTAAATGACTAATAATATAAGTTTCCACTTAAGTGGGGTACCTAGTGAGGTCAAATTCATAGAGATAGAAAACAAACTGATGGTTGCCAGGGGCTGAGGGGAGGGGAGAATGAGAAATTATTGTTTAATGGGTATGGACTTTTAGTTTGGGAAAATTTTAAAAGTTCTGGAGATGGACAGTGGTGACAGTTACACAATGTTAATGCAATCAGTGCCAAAGACCCATATTCCTAAAAGTCACTAAAATGGTAAATTTTATATTATGTACATTTTCTCAGAATAAAAAGTAATAAATATGGTGAGATAGGCGAAGAGGATTAACAATACACTTACTGTGATGAGCACTAAGTTATTTACGGAATTGATAAATCACTATATTGGACATCTGAAACTAATACAACACTGTTATGTTAATTATATTGGGATTAAACAGATAAAGATTGCTATTGAAAAAAAACGAGGAAATTAAATCAGAAGCAAAATCAGATATGCCTAGAAGTCTGTTGAACTTCTACCTTCATTAGGGTTAACTATAAAGGACAGGTTATTGATAAAATAATTATTGATTATTTGAAACATTACAAAAATAGAGTAGCAGCAAATTTCCCCCCGGTAAGGATTTCAAATATTGGGTAGAATACTAGTATGAAAAAAGGTGTCTGGATGGACACTAAACACTCATTGTACGGCACCTAAAAATCTGTTTAATTTTATTATTTTCCAACGAACTATGGAGTTAGTGAGCCTCACATAGGAGATGGAGATGGGAACAGAGAAGAAAATCAATTATTTCTCTGAAATTCTAAGACAGTTGTGGAAAGTCATGATTGTGGTCACTGGTCTAAAGATGATGTACTAGGATTTAAACTGCTTAGTTATTCGAATCACTCACAAATCTAGTAAATATTTACTCAATATGTGTCACATACCGTTAGGTATTTGTGGATGTATAAAATTAATTCCTATTTCTCAAAAATCTATTAGGGTCCAACACATAACAAAAAGTAAAAACTGAATAAAAAAGCAATCACAATGTCAAAAATCAAAGTTTCTAAAATAACTTTATCCATTCCTGCAAATGCCAAAATGTAGTATATATAGAGAGAAGTATTTAAGCCACTGCTAAACACTCAATGAATAGAAATTTCAGGTTATAATTGTGTCCCTATGTCCCTCTGTGATCAAAAAGATTTCTTTTTTAGCTGAGTACACACATATAATACACGTAAATATTTAAACTTGATGTGCAAATATCTATTTCAGGAATTAGTGCTTAAAAACAACCTTTACAACATTTTTCTCATGTCAGTTAGTTATGTTAACATGTAATACTTACTGAGCTGCTCCTTCCCTGAGAAGATTATCATTATTAAGCAGTAACCGAACATCTGCAAAACAAGTATTATGTTTTCTGTATTAAAATCGGTTTGAAATTTCTATATAATGAATGCAGATTAATTTAGTCATGTATCAACACTCCCCACTCTCCTTTTACCCCTAACATGTAAGCAATATCAAAACTTGACTCTGATGACCAAAATAACCATAAAAACATACCATATTATTTTTAGAAGATACTGGTTAGGAATAAGAATTAAATAAAATACAGATTTCTAGGGATGCCTGAGTGGCTCAGCTGGTTGTGTCCAACTCCTGATCTTAGCTCAGGTACTGATCTGTTTTGAGTTCAAACCCTGTGTTGGGTTCTACACTGGGCATGAAGCCTACTTAAAAAAAAAACAACAAAAAAACAGGTTTTCCCAGCTATCTGCAAGTTCACTTTGAGCCACCTGGCTTTTACCTGTTTTTGCTAACTGAATGGATTATAAGGAGGATTTTCACTTTTACCAAATTGTAATTGTTTTTCCACTTTATGCCATTGCAGTTTATGAAAGATTTCACAGAATGCTCTATTTGTGGACAGCAGGAGAAATCTATACATGTTATTTTATACTTTTCATAGCCAATGTAGGCAGATTGTAACGTATTTCCAAAGAAAGTGGAGATAAGCTCCACCAAAAAGATGGTCTGGTAATGGGGCACCTGGGTAGCTCAGTCGGTTAAGACTCCAACTCAGTGTCTGGTCATGATTTCGCAGTTTGTGGGTTCGAGCCCTGCACTGGGCTCTGTACTGACAGCTTGGAGCCTGGAGCCTGCTTCAATTCTGTGTCTCCATCTCTCTCTATCCTTTCCCTGCTCATGCGCTGTCTCTCTCTCAAAAATAAACAAACATTTTTAAAAAATTAAAGAAAAAAAAAAGATGCTCTGGTAAGATCTGCAGAAGATGCATGCCTCCTAGTTTGAAAACACTATCATGAGTTTCAGATGAATCTGCTCCATAGAAAAAGGAATTAAGCAAGAAACAGCTTGTGAACAGAACACAGATGTAGACATTTCTGTCCTCAGACAACTCATGTTCAAACAACAGATGAATGTAGTTAGTTCAATATGGATAACTGCTTTATTTGACTTAGCAATCTCTTTGGTTATTGATTCTTAATTCTGTTCTAATTTTAGAATCATTATTATTATGTAGACATTTGCCCATTCATCGTTAAAACATAACTTTAAAAATAATACTTTTATTGGAAAATCCAAGCACTTTGTAAAACATTAAGGAAAAAAAATCATATAATCTCACCAAAAAAAAAAAAAACCCCAAAAATATTCTATTCTAATCTTGTTATATTTTATTTCCCTATACACTCGGCTATTTCACACAGTTGCTATCATAAAGTTCATATCACAATGTACCCTAATCTTTTCATTAAATGAAAATAACACAACTAACCTAAGGATCTTCCACTAAGTAACTGGTTAAATACAATATAAGCACAGTGTATAGTTCTTATAAACAGTGTAAAATTAAGTAGCCATTAAAATAATCTAGATGTGAAAAAAATGTAGACATGTATTTATCAACATGAAATGCATCCGTAACATGATAAACAGGAAGGGGAAAATTCAGCATGTATAGTATTATCTTATTTATGTAATGTTATGTATCTGTATCTAAACTAAGTAATATTAGAAGTATTTCATTCAAATGCTGGAGAATGAGAAGGTAGAATTCTGGATGATTTTTAGGTTCATTTTTGTATTTTGGACATTTTAGAATGCCTATGAATCATTTTTACATAAATCATAAAGCTACTCCAAAAGAAAAAAGTATTAACTATTCACATGCCTCCTTTCAGTAGGCGGCTCTGATTTAAAAAAAAAAAAAAAATCTCTTTCATTAACCACTAAAATAATACTGATTTGATTCCTAAGCTAACTGATTTTAAACAATGGAAGTTACTGCCTAAAAATTATTGTAAAATATACACATATTTAAAATTATAGTTATTTCTGTATCACAAAGCAAACTGCGGAGTTCTACTTGATAAATATGATGCTTTCATGTTCAATACTGAAAACATAATCATTAACAGTGGTACTGCATGGTAGTCATCTTTTCCAGTTCTAAATGTGAAAAAAATTTAAAAGCAACATCTATTTGATCCAGTTAGCTTTATGCTGGAAAAAAAAAAAAAAAAAAAGTCCTGCTTTTATCATAAGGAAAGTACAGAAGAAAAAATATAAGAATTTGAATAAAATCTACTCTTACAAAAAATAGTCAGGATGTGGTTCCAAGCCAGGCTACACACTGGACCCATAAAGTGGAGAGTACAAGGCTTAAAAAAAAAAAAAAGAAATTAAAAGAAACAAATAAATAAATACGTGAACTCCAGCCCAGATCTACCAAATCAGTATCTGAGAATGAAGATCAGAAATTTATGTTTCAATGATTTTAGCACCACCAGCCTAAAAAATAGTATTTGGGAACCACTAAACTAACAAGATTTTATGACTTGGAAATTCTAAAATTTGTGATTTCTCTTGGAATTGTCATACTGGTGTTATCAACAAAAACAGCAACAAAAATAATAAAATTTGTGACATTTTCCCCTCAAATACTTAATTCCCTTTTAATTTTAAAATATTCCTTATTTAAAACTTCTATAATATACTGTGTCTTACTTTTATTCCATACCTCTCTCTCCACCCTAAGCCTACTAAATGGTTTATCCTAAATGCCTAAAATACGGTACCTCAACACAAAACTTACCAACATTAATTTCCAATGAGACTTAAGAAAGCAATTTCTAGGACTCATACATTCCTTTAGGGCCTTTTTGATTAACAAATCTGTAGGGCATTTATTCAAGGTAGTAACATTAAGTGAAAAACTTTCTATGAATTGTAGAAGAGTATGGGGGCCACTGACTTTAGTGTAGTTTCACCATTATCAATTTAAGTGGTATGCCAACTTTTGGACCTAAGGAAAGTAGAGGCTGACATATTAAAACAGAAGTTAAACCCTACAGGAAGCAAAAATATTTCTGAATTCTCTCCCAACTTCCCAATTCACTACTTGAGATTTTACAGTTATCTTAAAAGAATACAGAATACAGTATAGACTTGCCATTCTTTCTCTAAGAGTAGCTCAGTAGTTAAATTTTTAAATGCATAAAAATTACCATATGTAATTATATGTACTAAATCATGTATTATTATAGTTTGTGGATGATTTAAGGGATTTTCAATTTTTGCCTCATTTTTTGACTTTAAAACCTGATCTTTTTTAAGGTGAGATTTTATTATATCTTACACTATGAATGAAAATTAGTAATTAATTTCTTTAAAAACATGTTTAAATAGTTTGCTTTGGAATAGAATGTTTTAAAAATAAAACTAAAGAGTCCTGGGTAAATTAGTTTAAGACAGTGAAGCCCAAATATATTTATGTACAAATAACACATTTACAGTACCTACAGTAACTTATTTTTTAGAAAGTTTTTTTAACGTTTTTATTTATTTCTGAGAGAGAGAGAGAGAGGGACAGCATGAGCAGGGGAGGGTCAGAGAGAGAGGGAGACACAGAATCTGAAGCAGGCTCCAGGCTCTGAGCTGTCAGCACAGAGCCCGACGCAGGGCTCGAACCCACAAACTGTGAGATCATGACCTGAGTCGAAGTGGGACGCTTAATCGACTGAGCCACCCAGGCGCCCCTACAGTAACTTATTCTAAAACTGCTTAAGAACAGTTTTGTAAGATCACTATGGGCCATTTTCCTGGTGATTGTTTCAACCATGTCATTCTTATTGTTAAAAAAGGCGCCATTGTTAAGTTTTTATAGTAACCAGGACTGTATAACGGTTCAAACTTTTGCTTTGGGTGTATAATCATAAAAACGTTTGTCACTGTGGTTTAAAGAAGGACATGCTGTGAACTAATTTACCATATATAAATTAAATAGTTTTTACATGTGCTCTCATCTTCTGAACATGGTGAAACACTGTTTTTTCCTCTTTGTTTTTGGCTGTTCATATTATTCTAATAAGTTTTTCTTTCTTTCTTTTTTTTTTTTTGATGTTATTTATTTTTGAGAGAAAGAGACACAGAGCACTAGCAGGGGAGGGGCAGACAGAGAGGGAGACACAGAATATGAAGCAAGCTCCCAGCTCTGGGCTGTCAGCACAGAGCCTGAAGTAGGGCCTGAACCCACGAACTGTGAGATCATGACCTGAGCAGAAGTCAAAGGCTCAACCAACTGAGACACCCAGGCACCCCAGTTTTTCTTTAAAAGAAATACAAAAATACATTTCACGATTCCAAAAAATAGTTCAAATTTTGTCCTTTTTATTCTTTTAAAAAAAAGGATTGCTTGATATATCAAACCTTAGTGTTATGAATTAAACACTCACCATTAAACACCTCATTAAATTCTCCAGGAGGGGCATGAATAATGAATTTTGCTGCTATACGCACCTAAAATAGAAATGAAGATATAAATGTTCCATGGCATAGGCCTCCACTAAAATAACCAAAAAAACATGCAAAATTATACTACTTCAAAGTTCTACTGAAAATGGCTTAACAATTTTTTTAAAGATAGTGACACTTCTACAAACTGTATTACTGTTTCAATTATTTAATATAATTACAATGTATAGGCTAAATACAGATAAAATACATATTTAATACATTTAAGGATTCAAAGCTACCTAACATATAAACATTTTCTTATAAGCAAATTCTTCTTTTAAAATAAAATGGAAAAAAGTATCAATCAAGAAAAGCTGTATGTGTGAAGAAATAAGATGCATTTAGGTACAATAAAGAAAATAGATATACTATATTTATATTTCTATAAAATCACTAATTAGTGAAAAATATATAAAAGAAGAGGGGAAGAAAGGTCTAAATTCAAAATGTTTTTAAAAGGAGACCTGACTGAAGACATTTCATAAATAAAGTAAAACTTTCTACTTGCAGACAACATGATTATTTACAATGAAAAATCCCAAAGAATCTAAAACAATAATAATTTACATGTAAATGTAACAAAACATCTGCAGGACTAGTGTGCCGAACACTACAGAAAATACTAATGCAAGAAATCAAAGAAAAGCTAAAAAATTGACAGATATGTACTGGAAGACTAAATAATGTGAAGATGACAATTTTTCCAAACTAGTCTATACAATCATTGGAGGTCCAATGAAAAGCAAATCAGGATTTTTCTTTTCTTTTTGTTTTAATTTTTTTTTAATGTTTCTTTTTGAGAGAGAGAAACAGAGTGAGAGTGAGAGAGGGGCAGAGAGAGGGAGACACAGAATCTGACGCAGGCTCCAGGCTCCCAGCTGTCAGCACAGAGTCTGATGCAGGTCTCGAATTCACAAAATCCAAGATTATGACCTTAGCTGAAGTTGGATGTTTAAACGAATGAGTCACCCAAAAGCCCCAAAACAGGATTTTTCTGATACATATCAACAAGCTGATTCTAACACTGATATGTTTTATATATAACTTTTCTATGCATAAAGAATGTAATGAGTGCCAATTTTGGCCATGTATTAAGATACCCCCTCCCCAAATTCAAGCAAGATTTTAAAAAGTCACTATGATGATTAAAATAATCATAAACACATACACATGGTATTAAATATAGATTTTGGTTAAGAAATTAGAGGATAGGGGCACCTAGGTGGCTCAGCCGGTTAAGCATCTAACTTCGGCTCAGTTCATGATATCTCAGTTCATGGGTTTGAGCCCCATGTTGGGCTCTGTGCTGACAGCTCAGAGCCTGGAGCCTACTTCAGATTCTGTGTCTCCCTCTCTCTCTATCCCTCCCCAGCTTGTGCTCTGTTTTTCTTTCTCAAAAATACATAAACATTTAAATATTTTTTTAAAAAATTAAAAAGAATTGAAAGGATAAATTGTTCTCTCACACCCTTAATAGTAAATGCAAAGTAGTAAAGACAAATGAACTAGAACAGACAAAATAATTTTGAAATAGAACAAAGTTGGAAAATTCACACTACCTGATTTCAAAACTTACCAATGGATCTGAACTAAGAGTCCCAAAACATACCCATATATATATGGCTAAACAACTTTGATAACGGTACAAAGACAATTCAATGGAGAAAGAATTGGTTTTCAACAAATGATATTTAAATAATTAGATACCCGTGAGCAAAAACATGAACATCAACCTAAACCTCACACCTTATAAAAAAAATTACATCAAAATGGATCATAGCTCTAAATGTAAAACATGGAATTTAAAAATAAATAAATAAAAGAAATAGAAGAAAATCTTCATGATCTAGGCAAAAAATTCATAGACACGATACTTAAACCGTGATCCATTAAAAAAAAGGATTGATAAACTGGACTCCACTGAAATTCAACCTCTTGCTCAGTTAAGACACTGTTAAGAGAATGAAAAGACAAGCTACAAACTGGAGAAAATATTAGCAAATCACATATCTGACAAAGGACTTGTATCCAGAATATAAACTCTCAAAACTCAACAGTAAGAAAATAGTAAGGAAAGGACTTGGGCGCTTCACTGGATAGGATATACAGAGGACAAATAAATGCACAAAAGGATGTGCAATGTCGTAAGTCATAAGGGAAATGAATATTGAAATCATGAAACACTACTACATACCTAATATAATGGCTAAAATAAAAAAGACTGATAATACCAAGTATTGGTGAGGATGCAGAGCTAGAATAAATGGTTACAGCAACGCAAAATGGTACCAAGCAGTCTGGAAATCAGTTTGGCAATTTCTCATACAGTTAAGCAAACACCACAAAACAATCTCCCTTCCAGATATCTACTCTAGAGAAATGCAAACCTATGTCCATACAAAAATCTATTCACCAATGCTCAAAACTGGAAACAACTCAAAACTCAAATGTCCACAAATGAGTGAATGTATAAATAAAAGATGGTGTTTCTACACAATGGAATACTACTATATGCTTTGTGTTCTCAAAATTATTTTCTTCTAAATGTTTAAGATTACTATTGAAATCAAAAGCCAAAATATAAAAAATAATTTTAAAACACGCAAGGGTGGAGTAGGGTATAGAAGCAGCGCATGCTAAACATACATTGAAATCTATTATGTTTATGTAAAATGTCTTAACTTCTTAATTGTACCACTCACTGCTCTGTACCCCTGCCCCCAATGAGATAAGGAGCTGTTAGCATTAAGAACAAAGTCTTAATCATTACTACAGGCAACAAATAAAAGTTGTTGTAACTTGCTGATGAATTTATCAATATCAATTTCTTTCAAAAACATTTAGTATTTTGAAGTAACTGTTTCTAAAAGCCCTAATGACTTATAAAACTGGCAAAATTAAAGTACTAATAGCAAGTAGTATATATATAGCATATTTACTAATTGCTAGGTTGTTGAGCTTTAAAATTTTAAGTTGTTCCAAAAAAAGGCATATACCACTCAGTTTTAATCAGTTCTACTTGGAGTTTTCAGCAAGATAGCAAAAATGCTCTAAACTTTTTTTCCTACACACTTATTTGCCTTTGTTACTGCATTAAATGTATGCACTTAGTACATAGTGATCAAAGTTAAGGATTGGGGAGCGCCTGGGTAGCTCAGTTGGTTGAGCATCCAACTTCGGCTCAGGTCATGATCTCACGGTCTGTGGGTTCGAGCCCTGCATTGGGCTCTGTGCTGACAGCTCAGAGCCTGGAGCCTGCTTCGGATTCTGTGTCACCCTCTCTCTCTGCTCCTTCCCTGTTCATGCTGTTTCTGTCTCTCAAAAATAAACGTTAAAAAAGTAAACAAACAAACAAACAAACAGTAACAACAACAACAACAACAAGTTAAGGATTGCTCACAATACCCATAGTGAATGGTGGGTCAAAAGAAGCACCATTAAGGGCTATGAGGTCACAGGAGCTGTCTGAGAACCCAAAACACAACTTGGATTATACCAGCTACACTTAGAGAGTTTAGTAAACTGTTCTCTGTGAATTTAACCAACTAAGAAGGATGTGATTTTTGGATTTCTCAGATGCTAAAGGAAAGGAAGTATATAGGCCACAGTAAATGCTTAATTGTCTTCTAAGAAACTGTTCCATTATCAGTATCTTCTAAGTACGGTTATAAACTCAATGTGTTCCTACATCCATCTTTCTTAGCTGACTTTTAAAAAAAAATGTTTTAAACTAATTATTCTAGCCAACTTCTAAATCCAAGAAAAAAAGAAAGGTCATACAAGGGTTCCTAAGAGTAGAATGATTTTCTGAAAATAATAAAAAAAAATTTCTTCAAAGGTTTTCTAATACATATAGAGCTTGACTCTATTTACCCCTCGGAATACTGTAGCTTTTCCAGAAAAGCCCAGTAAATTATTAGATACATTCCCAGCCCTCAGCTAAATCTTCTGCATTACCTACCATCTTCTTCCATGTTTATTCAAAATAAAGTCCTTCTAAATTGGAGTCGGATGCAGGAAAGAGTTATTTTATTGTATTTCTAAACTGCAATTCTAGATTGGTGGGGTGGGGGACTTGGGAGGCTTTTGGGGGGGAAGGTAGGGCTAGACGGGAGACTAACTCTTATCTACATTAGTCACTGGCAGCTGACAGGCACACTTTGTAACAACTGTACCAAGAAGGATAGTTTTAAAAAGTTAACCTACTAATGTAGAGCTTAATGTACTGACCTGAGCTAAAAGCTGAAAGAGCTATATTCTTCCTTTTCTTTCTCTTGGATACAAATAATATTTTGTATAAAACATATACAGAAAGATAAACATAACAGAAAGCATATTCCATTCCTTTGTGCTTCTGGTAAAAGAGCAGATACCAATTAAGTCTATAAAGTTACTTACATAAAAGATAAAGTAGTGTATTCAAAATAATATCCAAAATGTCAGTATACATTAGTCCTGCACCCAAAAAAAAAAAACTTCTGCCCATCATCTATGTGAGATAATACAAAAGTTATTACTCACTGTCAAACATTTTTTTGTACACTGTTTTTCTTATGAGCTTTCTTTCTTCTTTTAAAAGAAATCCCACAATTCAAACAACACATTAAGTAATGACAGTAACGGGTAGTAACTCACAGAATAAAATAGGAATATATGAGTCTATACTGACACAAAGAAATGACTGAACAAGGGAAAGTTCTTCATTACAACAGAATTTCAACTAATGAATGTAGAAGGAATGACTGATTATAAAAATCAGCTTGGGTGTGCACTGCAATAATTGTTGCATACAAAAATCACCAATGGATGCTAAAATTTGTGGGTAAAAGTATGATAACAAGACAACAGGACATTTACGTGGTCTGAAAAGTATCTTTCCAAATACTTAATTATATACTTGCATTGAGGAAACGTGCCACACACCACCTTTACCAAACAATCAAAGTTATAAATAAGAGTAAAAACTAATACCATGTGCCCCCTAAAAGGATACACCGAGGATA